CTCACACCACTTTCAGACACTCTCACACCACCTTCAGACACATCCACACCATCTTCAGCCTATCCCACACCACCTTCAGACACTCTCACACCACCTTCAGACACTCTCACACAACCTTTGGGTACTCCCACTCCACCTTCAGACACTCCCACACCAACTTCAGGCACTCCCACTCCACCTTCAAACACTCCCACACCACCTTCAGACACTCTCACACCACCTTCAGGCACTCCCACACAACCTTCAGACATTTTCACACCACCTTCAGACACTCCCACACGTCCTTTGTGGATTCCCACTCCACCTTCAGACACTCCCACACCACCTTCAGGTACTCTCACACCACCATCAGAGACTCCCACACCACCTCTCAGGACACCCCACTCCACATCTCACACACTCCCACACCACCTTCGGGTATTTCCTCTCCACCTCAGACACCCCACACCACCTTTGGGCACCCCACACCACCCTCTCAGGCACCCCACACCACCTCTCAGGCACTCCCACACAACCTTCCAGACACACCCACACCACCCTTTTAGACACCTCACACCAACTTCAGACGCCTCATTCCTCTCAGACACCCCACCATCTTTAGACACCCACACCACCTTCAGATACTCCCACACAACCTTCAGACACTCCCACCACCCTCAAGCACTCCTACACCACCTTCAGGCACTCCCACACCACCTTCAGAGACCCCCACACCACCTTCAGGCACTCCCACTCCACCTTCAGACACTCCCACACCACCTTTGGGTATTTCCACTCCACCTTCAGACACTCCCACAACACCTTCAGGCATTCCCACACCACTTTCAGGCATTCCCACACCACCTTCAGACACTCCCACACCAACTTCAGATAACTCCCACACCACCGTCAGACATTCCCACACCACCTTCAGACACTATCACACCACCTTGAGACACTCCCACACCACCTTCAAACACTCCTACACCACCTTCAAACACTCTCACACCACCTTCAGACACACCCACACCACCTTTAGATACTCTCACACCACCTTCAGACACTCTCACACCACCTTGAGACACTCCCACACCATCTTCAGACACTCCCACACCACCTTCAGATACTCCCACACCACCTTCAGACACTCCCACAACACCCTCAGATACCCCACACCACCTTCAGACACAACCACACCACCTTCAGACACAACCACACAACCTTCCAGACACTCCACACCACCTTCAGGCACTCCCACACCACCTTCAGACACTCACACCACCTTTAGGCACCCCCACACCCCCTTCAGACACTCCCACACCGCCTTCAGACACCCCACACCACCTCTGGTATTCCCCACCCACCTTCCAGACACTTCCTGCACACCACCTTCAGGCACTCCAACACCACATTCAGGCACTCCGACACCACCTTCAGGCACTCCCACACCACCTTCTGCACTCCCTTCTCCACCTTCACATCTCCCACACCACCTTTCTGTGTACTCCCACACCACCTTCAGATTCTCCACACCACCTTCAGACACCACCACCCCACCTTCAGAGACCCCACACCACCTTCACACACTCCCACACCACCTTCTGTACCTCACACCTCCTTCAGACACCCCACACCACCTCAGACACTCCCACTCCACCTTCAGACACTCCCACACCACCTTCGGGTATTTCCACTCCACCTTCAGACACTCCCACACCACCTTCAGGCACTCCCACACCACCTTCAGACACTCCCACACCACCTTAGGGTACTCCCACACCACCATCATACACTCCCACTCCACCTTCACACACTCCCATAGCACCTTCGGGTACTCCCACACCACCTTTAGACTCTCCTACACCACCTTCAGACACTCCCACCCCACCTTCAGAAACTCCCACACCACCTTCAAACACTCCTACACCACCTTCAGACACTCTCACACCACCTTCAGGCACTCCCACACCACCTTCAGTCACTCTCCCACACCACCTTCAGGCACTCTCACACCACCTTCAGACACTCTCACACCACCTTCAGGCCCTCCCACTTCACCTTCAGACACTCCCACACCACCTTCAGGCACTCCCACACCACCTTCGGGTACTCACATGGTAGGCAACATTTGCATTTCTTCCCTGAACATCCTTGAATGTAGACGACTCCTTTACACTGTTGCTTCGAGGTGACGCAAAACCCGCCATTATTGACGCAGGTGAACTTGGCTTTACAATATCTGACGCAACAGACACATCCATCCTGAGTACAACCACCACTGATGGCTCGGGTGTTGCCTCTGCAGCTTTTCCTACATGTTCCCTCCTTTTTCAAGCACTTGTCATTTTCCTGTCCTCTGCATTTCACTCCTGTAATCATTTAGTAGTTATTGCTCGCTGTATGGGTGTAGGAATCTCTCTCTCTCTCTCTCTCTCTCTCTCTGTCTCTCTCTCTCATTACACTACAAAAATAAATTAATTTTAAAACGTTTCTCTCCTCGATGTTGACACTTACTGGGAGTACAGCAGTAGCACCTCTTCCCTCGGCACCCCTTCTTCAGGATTTTTCCCTGGCACTTCTTCCTGGCGTAGACGCAGTAGCCGCCTTTCTCCTTACACACCCTCTTGGCCTTACACTGTGGGGCGCAACACCAGCAGGTCTTCTTCTTCTTCTTCCCTTCCATCCTCCTGCAGCCGTTTGTCATCTCCCGCTGTGTCTTCCCACACGCCTTCTTCTGGCACCTCCCCCCGATAGATTTACAGATTCTCCTGGTCTTACAACCTGTGTGGACTAGAAGCATTAACATCCACACCTTGAACTAAAATCTAAAAAAAAACAAAAATAAAACAAAAACGAAACGAAACAAAAAACGAAACGAAAAAAACAACAAGTATTTTCCCCACAACTACCACAGAGACGGGCATATCTCTCAGTTTCGTCACACTGAAAGGAAAGGAACTCATATTTAAGGAGCGAGGGCTTAATATCCACTACTCTCAATCGATCCCTGAAGATATAAGTCTGTTAACAAGGCTGCCGTATTGTTGAGATATTATACAGTAACGTAAATACCCTGAAAGCTTTTAGAAGTTGTAACCAAAATCTAGACACAGTTCCTTTAAATATGTATGTTGATGACTGTGGGTTCGATCCCTCGTACTCTAAACTGAAGAGGAATATCAACAGTCTTCGAAAACGACACAAATAACACACCCCTCTCTCTCTCTCTCTCTCTCTCTCTCTCTCTTTTATTATGGGTAATATTTTTGTTCCTCCATTATCTATTTATTGTACTTACCTTTCTTCCTCTTTTTGTTTTCATTGGGTTTCTTTTTAATCGGTTTCCCGGGTACTTGGTACTTGGGTTTCGACACTGCCGTCTGTTTCTGAACATTGTTGACCTTCGTGTTGGTTTTGTCGTTGTGAGTTCGGTTGGTTGATTTTCTGTCCTTAATCTCTTCCTCTTTTCTCTCCTTCTTCTTCTTCTTATTCTTCTTGTTCTTGTTCTTGTTCTTGTTCTTCTTGTTCTTTTGGTCATTTTCCATATTTCTGTCTTGACTTTCTTCATTCTTCATTATATTGTAATTTTCTTTGTTCATTATAATTTGGTCTTTCTTCTTCATTTGTTTATTTGTTACGTGTTCTTTTAACTTATTGTGCTTGTTTTTATTTTCTTTCTTTGTATTTGTGTCATCAATGTTTTTCTTATTTTCCTGTTTATTTGTCGCGTTTTTTGTTATGTTAGTGTCATTTTCCTCATTGTTTTGAGTCTTCTTTTTACTTTTGTTTATTTTCCTTGTCTTGTCTTTGTCGTTTTTACCAATATTTTTGTTTTTGTTCACTTTAGAATAATTTTTCCTGTGTTTCTTTATCTTTTCATCATTTCCTTTTGTTTTTGTACCTTTATTTATGTCTTTTCCTTCATTTTCCTGATTTTTGCCTATTTTTTCCTTATATTTGTAAATTTTTTCTTCATTTTTCTTATTTTTTCCTTCGCTTTCCTTATTTTTGTCTATTTTCCCTTCATTTTCCTTATTTTTTTCTATTTTTCCTTCATTTTCCTGATTTTTGTCTATTTTTTCCTTCTTTTTCCCCCCACTTTCCTTATTTTTTATTATTTTCTTCCATTTGTTTTGTGATTTCCTCTGATTTTCCTTATTTTCGGTTCTTCTAACACCTGTTTTCTTGTTTTTTCCTCCATTTTCCCCTTTATTGCTTCGTTTATTACCTGTTTTCTTCGTATTCTTCCTATTTTCCTTTATTTGGCTCTCTCCTATACCCCTGTTTTTATTCGTTGTCTTTTCGTTTTGTCTTCGTTTGGGTGGATTGTCTTTCTTGGGTATTTTGGGATTTTCTTCATCTTTATCCAGTTTTCCTTTTGGGTTCTTCTTGAGTTGCCATTTCTTTGTTTTATCAAGTATTTCTCTCTCTTGTGGTTCATCTTTATCAATCTTTCTCTTCCTCTGTGATCTTCTGTTATCTTCTCCTTCTCTCTTCTCTTCTGTGTTCAACTTCATCTTTTTCCGCTGTTTTCTCTCTCCGTTTTCTTCTTCTTCTTCTTCTTCTTCACTGCCACTCTTGTTCTTCTTTCGCCTTGCGCTTATATTGACATTTTCGTCTCTGTTAGCATTCTTCTGCCTGGTGATGCTTCTCTCACTCTCATCACTATCTTTCCTTCGTCTGGCGTTGATTTTTGTTCTCTCTGTACACGGGAGAACATCACGTAGATTACTGAACAGTTTTATTATTATTATTATTATTATTTTTATTATTATTATTATTATTATTATTTTTATTATTATTATTATTACTAATATTTTGTTTTCATAATGTTTCACCTCATATAATTCAGTAGTTTCATATATAAACAGACAAACTAATTTCAATCATTCCGGTGGCAATTATCATGTCTTAGGTTTGGCGATAACGTCCCTCCCTAGTTTGACCTGAATCCTCACTACACCACAGAAAGTCACATGATGTTGACCTTTGACCTACCATGTGGAGTAACCTTGCAGCAGCGGGTGGGGGGAGGGCAGGGGGCCGGTAGACAGAGGGTAGGGTCAGGCCAGGTCGTCATACATTTGCCTCCCAGTGCCTCACACAACATGACGTCACTTCCTGTGCGATCTTGACCTCGGCTAGTGAGTGCAATGACCTGAGGGTGAAGAACAGTAGGTTATGTTCTGGTGTTCATTATAACAGTTTTTAACACTTTCCGGTTATAGTGGCTATTTTATTGACTTACTGACTGATAAACTGACTCACTGATTAACTGACTGACTGACAGAATAAATGAATGAGGAGACCTTTTTTTGCACATAACACTTTTAACAGACACTGAACACCGTCCGTCATTTAACACTGGTGGAGAGTTAGTCAGGAAAGTCTTAATGAAAGGACTCTGCGGTAATTACTGTATGCGGAGGAGTCAAATGCTTCTCTTTGTATGTTTGTGTACCTTATCGGGGTCATCTGAGGAAGCAACAGCAGCAACAAGAGGATGCATAGCAGGAGGAAGCACAGCAGGAGGAGGCACAGCAGCAGGACGAGGCACAGCAGCAGGAGGAGGCACAGCAACAGGAGGAGGCACAGCAGCAGCAGGAGGCACAGCAATCACAGCAGAGATCGGGGAGACGCTTGAAGTCATCGCTGACACAGAACACAGCATCGTCAGGCCCACCACAGCAGCAACCACACCACACAGCAACGTCATCATGGCCAAGGTAACACGGGCACTCTAATACACCTCGTCAAGGAGCGGCGACGTAGCACATGATAGCACTGCCAAGGTTGATGCAAAAGTGGCAATCAGACATGGAAGCAAATGTAATCAGGTAAATGGAAAGGGGGAGGAGGCGGGGAGAAGGATGGGGAGGGAGGGAGGGAGAGGCACCTTTTCCTCATGGTACAGGTGGGAGTAAAGGGAAGGAAGGGAGGGGGGAGGAGGGTAGTGAGAGAGAGAGAAAGGGAGGGTGAGGGGGAGGGTTAAGGAGGGGTTGAGGGGGAGGGTTAGGGGGAGGGTGAGGGTGAGGAGGCGGTCCCATGAAAGAAAAGAGTCAATGCACTACACTATGATATATTTACCAACTAGTATATGTCATTATTTTCCGCATGTTATACAACGATTTATATGTAAATGTGGCAGGTTTACAATTGTGTGTGTCAGTGCCGAGGGTGTGTGACATTTGCAACAGGTGTGACAGGTGTGTACAGCTTACAGGTGGGGAACCGCTTATCAACGAACCCACTACACGCTTCTCTATGTTTCCTTCCCCATTATTTGTTCCATGCCGTGGCTTTCCGTTCTTATTAGAGTGTATCGTGTGAAGGTTATTGTCCTCAAATCAAAGGATGAGGACTATAATAGTTGTTTCCCTTCCTGTATTATGTTCCCTGCCGTCAACGAGGAATAAAATAGTTGTTTCCCTTCCTGTTTTATGTTCCCTGCAGTCATCGAGGAATATAATAGCTGTCAAAAGATAAGGATTTTTAGGCGAAACATTTGGGTAGTGTAGGTTAGATGATTAGAAAGACAACTCAGAAGATTGGTAACTCAAGTCAGGGGATTGGTAACGTAATTCAGCATGGCCCACACTTATCTGAATTACGGCTCCATGGCCCTCATTTCAGGTTCATAACAGCGTCAGTTTGGCCATGTTTCCTCCTGTTTTCTCCCACACAGCAGACTACAGGCTGTAGACGTCAACGCCATCTCGTTCATCCTCATACATTACGACGGTCGATCCCTGGAAGGTAACACAAGATATAAACCCAAATTGACATACATGCATAATATATAATAATAATAATGGTTGCCCCTTGGCGTGAATTTGTTAAAGGTGTAGAAGCTGTCGCCAACACAACAACCACACCTTGTGTTAACGAGTTGCATGACCCAGTGTCAAGGAATAGTCCGAGAAGACCGGACAACTCGCCAGCTGCACTGGCTAACCATTACCCCGGAACACGATCCGCAATTCGATTACCATCCAGGTCTCCAATTACTGCTGGGTAGATAGAGGCAAACAGGGGAAAGAAACTTGCCCATAGTTTCCACCCTTTCCGGAGATCGAACCCGGGTCCACTCGTTTGCGAGGCGAGCATGCTGACCATTACACTACAGGTGGCTACATACATACATACATACATACATACATACATACATACTGTACATACATACATACATCTCACCTGCGGTGTTCCCCAGGGGACCAAGATGGGACCACTGTGCTTCCTGATCCTGATCAACGACGCTCTATCGGACACTCCTCACAGGTGGAAGTATGTGGATGACTGCACTGTGGGAGTTACAGTGGACAACACCTCACCGGACTACTCATCTCTACAAGACACCCTGGACAGGCTACAGGCATGGACTACGGAGAACAAGGTCACCATCAACCACACCAAAACCGTAGTCATGCACATCAATACCGCCACCACTCCAGTGCAAGCTCCAGCTGTCGCAGTGGGTGCCCATCCTCTCCAGTTAGTGCAGTCTGCCAAACTCCTGGGTGTTACCATAGACCACAAACTGGACTGGAAGGCTCATGTAAACAACACAATCAAGGCAGCCTCGTACCGACTCTACATGCTACGACGACTTAAGTCACTTGGGGCACCCACGCCAGAGCTGAGGACCATCTACAACGCCTTTATTCTCCCCCAAACTAACGTATGCGTCACCAGCCTGGTCGTCTTCTCTCAAGTCTACCCAACAACTACGGCTAGAGAAGGTACAGAAAAGGGCCTGCAGAATCATGCTCGGCGCAGACTACTCCGGCTACAACAACGCTCTCTCCACCCTGGAAATGCCATCCCTCAGTGACCTCCACCACCAAGCACTAGCAAGGTTTGGCAGTGGACTACTGCACCATCCCCCCTCATCGCCACCTCCTGCCACCGGCAGTCCGCCGCCCACCTCGCGCAGTCCGCCACTATAACAAAATTCAGCCCATAAGAGCCCGCACTGATAGATATAAGAATAGCACCATCCCATCTTGTGCTAAAATAATAAACAACTCTTGATTTATCTACTGTACAGCCCTGTAAATGTATTCAACGTATATCATTATGTTTGTATCAAATGTAAGTTTGTATATTTTCAGCCATCGGCTGCAACTCTATTAATTAACCGTTTTTTTATTATTATTATTATTATTATTATTATTACATACATACATACATACATACATATAGTCAGGTGTATCAATCGACTCTGATGTCATGAACAACATATGGACATCTTTGAACAGGTGTTTCGTGTTGTACATGTGGAGGGCGTGGGGGGGGGGTGTGTGGGGGCGTGTG